AGACCTTTCCCTTCCAGCCCTCCTATGTGCAATGAAAGGAAGCCCCTCCCTCCCTCCCAAGGCAGCTCAGGCCACCTTGGGGCAACTCTAATTGTCAGGAAGCTTGTGAGGTCTTCGAAATTGGTCTTCCCGCCATCACTCTGGATTCTTGCCCTCTGGGCCCAAACAGAACTCTGAATGTAATCCCTTGTCCACGTGGACAGCCTTTCAAATTCTTGAAGACAGCTTTCATGTTCTCCCAGTCATCTTGTCTCCAGGCTAAACAACTTCTGTTCCTTCCATGGGTCATTGAAAGGCATGAACTCAATCAGGACCCTTCATGCATAAGAATCACCTTTCTCTGGATACTGCCCAGCTTACCAACGTCCTCCTTAAACTGGGGTACCCAGAAACGAACACAATACTCCTAATGTGGTCTGAGCAGGGGGGAGCACAGAAGGAATATCACCTCTCTGCCTCTCTTCAAGAAGCTTCAGGTCACATTTTCACACTAATGATTCACAATGACGTTTTTTGGTCTACTACAATGCTGAAATCATTTTCGGAGGAGCTGTTTTCCAGTCAGACCTTTCCCTCCCCACTCTACCTCTGCCATCTTGTATTTGTAAAGTTGACTTTTTGAATCTAAGTGTCAGAATTTACTGGATTTTATCTTCTTGGGTTCAGCTCAATACTCCAGCTCATTCAAGATCATTTTGGATCTTGACTCTGTCATCTGGTGTCTTGGCTGTCTCTCTCAGCTCTGTGTCATCCACAAATTGGATGAGGCTGCCATCAACATCTTCAGCCAGGAATTTCACTCTGTTTGTCCATGGACTCCTCAGGCCGGAAGCACCTTTCTCCCCTGTGGCCTCTTCTCTTATTTGTTGATTCCTTCCATTTTAAGGAGGACATCCAAGTTATACATTCCTCTCCAGACTTTCTGGACTTTTATTACCATGACCCTGCCCACATAGTGTCTCCCCTCACCCCGTCTCTTTTCAGCTTCCTTTTCTGTGTTGTCTTTGGTCATTAGAATACGAAATCTCTCTTTCTTTTTCACTTGCATTTGTATTCCCAGGGCTTAGCACAGTTCCTGACCCATAACAAGTGTTTAGGCTCACTTTATCCAAGTTATTGACAAACATGTTATACAGCGCAGGACTGATCCCTAGGGACCACTGGAGACCTCCTGCCCACCTGCCATGGAGTCATTAAAGACTATTTGGGTTCTCAAAGGTTATTGTAAGATTTAAACGAGTTAATGTAAATAGCATTTTGAAAGTGCTGCTACTGCTTCTACTATGATTACTATTACTACTGCTGCTGCCACTACTACTATTATTACTAGTGCTGCTACTATGACTTCTACTACTATTACTTTTACTACTGCTGCTGCTACTACTACTACTACTACTACTACTACTACTACTACTACTATTACTTTTACTACTGCTGCTGCTACTACTACTACTACTACTACTACTACTATTACTGTTGCTTCTACTACTACCATTATCACTACTACTGCCACTGCTGCTGCTGCTGCTCCTACGCCACCATGCCATATTAGATAGAAAGGTGGCCTCAGAGTCAGAAAGGCCTGAATTCAAATCCTGCCTCTGACACATACTGACTATGTGACCCTGGGCCTGTCCCTTAGCTTCTCAGCTCTCTAAGAAACTCTCCAAGACTCCAAATTACAGAGCAAGTGTTTGCCTACATTGAGGGAGCTTCCTCACCCAGAGTTCCTTATACCAAGGGAAGCAGAAGTCTAGCCCAAAAGACAAAATTATCGTTATCCAGCCCAGACCTCCCAGCCTACGCTGGACAGAAGGAGACACAGAATCTGGAGCTTTCTTTCACAAACTCGTTTTCTGCCTGGATTTTGGTCATGAGGCTTGTTGGTGGCAGCTCCCCATCACACCTGGGGGCATTAGGTAGAAACAAGTAAGTGTGCCCACTCTGCCCTGAGCCACAGTTAAAAGTCTATTAATATCCCAGAAGAAGTGCTGAGAATTGGGAAAGCAGGAAACAAACCGGTGAAGCCACCCCTCGTCCCACCTTCTGTAAGACGCCTTTCTTGACCCTCCTTAACCTTAGTGCCTTCCTGCTGAGCTTACCTCCAATTCATCCTGTTTATATCGTGTTTGTATATAGAGTTCGATATAAGGAAAAACTTTCCAATAATAAGGGTTATATGTAAATAGCCTGGGTTGTCTTGGGACACAGTAGGATCCCCATCTCTATAGGTCTTGAGTCAAAGATCATAGATTTGGAGCTGGCAGGGACCTTTGAGGTTACCCAGATTTTACACATGAAGAAACTGAGGTAAAAGGGAGCTGATTGTCCAAGGTCCCAAAGGCAGTAGAAGAGAATCCAGGACTCCTGCCAGCGCCTTGAGACCACTTGTCCGGAATGTTGTAAAGTAGTGGGGAATCACTGCTTAGCTCTCTGTGGGACCAGATGCTTCCGTAATTCTATGGATAGACATGTGAGCTATTGTTGCTATGAAGAGAGGGCTGAGTTTGAGCCAGAGAGATGGGTTCAAATCCCATATCTGACCCATTAGCTTTGTGACAATGGGCAAGTCATTCTCTGAGCCTCGATTTCCTTAACTGTAAAATGGGGATAAAAACAGCACCTGTCACACAGGACTATTGAGAAGGTCAAATGAAATATAACATAAGTAAAGTGCTTTGCAGACCATAAATTCCTTAAAAATTCTAGCTATTACCATTGTATTCATTCTCATTCTCTGTCTTTTCTCTCTCCCTCATTCTCTTTCCTCTCTCTCTTTTCCTCTGTCTCTCTCCCTCTCTCTCCTCATTCTCTTTTCCTCATTATCTCTTTCTCCTCTCTTTTCCTCTCTCTCCTCTCTCTCTCTTCCTCATTTTCTCTTTCCCATCTCTCTCTTCCTCCCACCTCTCCCCCCCCCCCCAGATTTACTCATTCATCATCTCAGGCTTTGGGATCCCTGAAATCCCGTGAACAAAGGCCAGGTAGGCCCAAATCTTGAGTCAATCAGTCTGCATCGATGGACTGAGAGCCTTAGTGCTAGGTGGAAGATGAGAAGGAGATCGTACCATCTCTGCCCTCAGGGAGCGTACGGTGTCATTGGAGAGATAAAAAAAGGATTTCCCCAAACTCTTATGAAGAAATCATAAAAATGACCCAAACAAGTACGAGATTGGTTGCCAAGCATACCCAGAGGCAGAAGGGTGCTGGTGGGGTAAGGACCTGCTGATGGATTGTCGTGGGCCTCAATGCCCATCCCTTCCAGAGCTTGGGCTCTGCCAACTTTCCTTGCCTCTCCACCCTGCCCCACCCAAGCTAGACCTACCATTAATTCTGCAGGGATCTGTATGTAGAAGAGGGGCTGCCAGGCCCCTCTATTATCTTCCCCTCCTAGCGCCTCTGGCAAAAACAAAATAAAAAACAAACTAGGCCTGCTTGAAGAAAGAGCTGGCATCCAAAAAGAAGAAGAGGGTCTTTCTGGCTGCCCTCCCTTGTTCAGACCTCACCAGAAGCATCCTCTGCTCAGTTCTAGGCTCCACCATTTAGGAAGGCTATTAACAAATTGGAGAGGGTCCAGGGGAGGGCCACTGGGATGGTGAAAGGCCTTGGGGTCATGTCATACAATCATCCGTTAAAGGAACCAGGGATGATTAGCCCAGGGAAGAGAAGACTGGGGGGCTGGTGGGGAGCCATGATAGATGCACTTGAGTATTTGAAGGATGATCTTATGGAAAAGGAAGTTAGAACTAGCAGCAAGGGGGTGAAAGCTACAAAGAGGCAGGTGTAGACTTGATATAAAGAGAAACTTCCTAACCCTCTTAAAATTGCCCCAAAAGGGATGGATGGGAGTGGGCTCCCCTTCACTGAAGGTCTTTGAGCAAAGATGGAGGCAGAGAGTGTAGAGTGCTGGACCTGGACTCGGGAAGATCTGCATTCAAACCCTGCCTCTGATGCTACCAGGGTGATCCTGGACAAGTCACTATTTGAGTTCAGTTTTCTCATCTGTAAAATGGGTTGCTGTCAGCAGCCTCTAAAGTCCTCCATGATTGTATGTTGTATGGGGGAGGCTAAGGGAGGTACAGACTGGAGGAAATGTCAACTGAGATCTCTCCTAATTCTCAGGTCCTGTGATTCCCCAACATGTCACTCTCCTCATACAGATAGCAGCTCATACCTTCAAGCATGGTCTGGATGACCACTCCCCTGGGATGGCACAGAGATTCCCAGGCTACAGATTTACAACTGGAAAGACCCTCAGAGGGCATCCAGGCCAGCTCCCATATCTTAGAGATGAGGAAACAGGCTCAGAGAGGTTCAGTTAGAAGCTCCCTGAGGGCAGGGGATGTCTTTTGCCTCTTTCTGTATCCCCAGAACTTGGCACAGTGCCTGGCACACAGCAGGTGCTTAATAAATGTTTACTGAACTGAAACTGAACTAAATTCCAAGGTCACAGAGGCAATAAGGCCTTCGGTAATTCTTTGGTGTGGAGGAATCTTCAGTCTCCGTTGAGCCGAGCCAGCCACAAATGCATTGGGTCAGACCCAGGGGACCAGAGGAAGCTCAGAGCCTGAAGGCAGAAGTAAGGCCCTTAAAGTTCCAGACTGCTGGAGATTCTACATTTCTAACCTGTATTTAGAGTATGTTTCTGGTATGGGAAAACATCCCTAACTCACTTAGATAAAGGGTTATCTAAGAAGCCAAGCAATCTCTGACCCCTTTCTCTCAGATCCAAAGAGCATGAGGGTCGGGGACGTTCTCTCCCCACAATGCACCAGGGAAGAGGACGGCGATGGGAAGTCCCTCCAGTCTCAACATGCCCACAGAGCGCCTGTTACCCACAACAGCCATCTCCACACACCTCCTCGAGGAGGAGGGCCTTGGCACAGGGCCTGGGAAGGAAACCTGCTTTGGGATCCGAGCCCAGCTCCCCTGAGGCCTGGAGGATGGTTCAGCCACATGGGGGGAGGGGATAGAGAAGAGGGGGAGGAGGTGCTTCTGCTCACCAATACAGGTCCTGCCATCGGTGTGGAGCCTGAAGCCAGTCTGGCATTCACAGTAGTAAGAGCCTGGAGTATTCACACATCTGTGCTGGCAGCCACCATTGTGAACCTGGCACTCGTCGGTACCTAAAAAAATGGAGGAGAAAAGAATTAAGAAGAACGGACGCAGAACAACAAGGCCGACTTGAAGGAGCTGACCTCCCCCCATCCCTAGCGCTCAGTGCCTCACTGACTAACAGATCCAGAACAACCCAGGTCACTGCCCCAGGACGGCAGCCATCTCCCACCTTTCACGGTCCCTCCCTGCACCAGTCTCCTTGCCGGGCATCCCCCTCTCCACCATGCCTGATCCTGCCTTTCACGTTACCTTCCCCACCCAAACTTACTCATCCACTCACATTCATAATAACTGACATTTTTATAGTTCCTTAAAGTTGGCCAAGTTTTTTGCATCTTGCGTGAGCCTCATGACAACCCCGTGAGGCAGGTAATTCAGGTATTGTCATCCCTGCTTCATAGATGAGTAAAGGCAGTGAGAGATTTAGAGGTAGAGGACCTGGATTTGAATCCTGCCTCTACCCCTTACAGCCTGTGTGACCTTAGACAAATTACTTCAAGTCTCTGGGCCTCGATTATCTCTTCTGTAAAATTAAGGGCTCAGAGTAGACAGCCTCTGGGCCCCTTCCCACTTTAATTCTGTAGTCCTGTTATCTGTAACACATAATATTAGCAGATAAATGTACTGGTAGATGCAAAGCCAGGTCCAACAACAAGCCTGTGCCAGGCTATGTGCTGGGGAGAGAAAGAAAAACAAAAATAAAGAGCTGGCATTCTAGCGGAGAAACCAACACAGAAATAAATAGGAACAAATTAGAGACAGAGTGGGCGGCTAGGTAGCCAGGACAGCTAGATAGCGCAGTGGATAGAGTGCAGGGCCTGGAGTCAGGAAGACCTAAATTTAAATCTAGCCCCAGACACTTATTAGCTGTGTGACCCTGGAAAAGTCACTTAACCCTGTTGGCCTCAGTTTACTCATCTGTAAAATGAGCTGGAGAAGGAAATGGCAAACGACCACTCCAGTATCTTTGCCAACAAAATCCCAAATGGGATCACTGCACCACTGGGCTGTTGGAACATGTAGTATAAGTATACACGTGTATACATAATATAAATATAAAATGAAGCATGCCTATTTTACAAATTTAAGTCTAAAGGAAGTGATATGACTTGGTCATCGTCACCTAGCTATGTATACGTATGTATGTGTGTGTGTATATATATATATATATATATATATATATATATATATGTATGTATGTATATACATATATACATATATATATGTATGTATGTATATACATATATACATATATATGTGTGTGTGTATACATATGTATATATGCCTGTATATATATACGTGTGTGTGTGTGTGTGTGTGTGTGTGTGTGATGTATCTGCGAGGCAATTAGGGTTAAGTGACTTGGCTAAGGTCACAGCAAGTAAGTGTCAAGTGTCTGGTTTGAGACTGGATTTGAACTCAGGTCCTCCTGACTCCAGGGCCGATGTTCCATTCATTGCACCACCCTGTGTATATATGCATACAAGTATACATTTATTGCTCAATTGTTTTTTTTTTTTAGTCATGTCTTCATAACCCTATTTGGGGTTTTCTTGGCGGAGATACTGGAGTTGTTTGTCATTTCCTTCTCCAGCTCATTTTACAGAGAAGGAAACTGAGGTAAACAGGGTGAAGTGACTTGCCCAGAGTTACAAAACTTGGAAGTGTCAGAGGCCAGATTTGAACTTGGGAAGATGAGTCTTCCTGACTCCAGGCCCGTTGCTCTATCCACTGTGCCACCTAGCTGCCCAGATCATACAACAAGTTACAGATAGGTTACAAAATAGATTGCAGTGGAAATGGAAAGAGTACCAATTCTGGAAATAGAGATCCTAGGTTCAAATCTTGGCTCTCTCTTAAAATTAGCAAAGTCGTTTAACTAATAGGCTTCAATTTCCTCACCTATAAAATGGGATGGGGTGTCTATGATCCTATGTTCATTAGATCATAAAGTAAATAAATGTATTAAAATAAAATAAATATATATCGAATTAAATATAAATATCTTATGAAAATAATATGGTTGGTTATAGGGGTTGAACCTGTGATTTCACTGATACAGTGAACTTTCAGGTAATGAAACTCCCTCTAGCAATGCCAGTGGTCAACGTCTGTGTAACTTATAGTCATAGAGAGGTGGGTGGAGGACCAAGAAATCAAGTGACTTTCTCAAGGTCTCAAAGAGCTGGGATTCAACCCCAGGTCCTGTTGCTCCAAATCCAGTCCATTAGGACTGGAATCCAGTGATTCCTAATACAAAAAGGATAAACCAAACTCATTTCATCCTTACAAGGAATAGCCACACTGATTCTAGAAGAATCAGGAAAACTTTCAGAAAATTCTGCTAGGGACGAGGGGAGATGGAGTGTAGATAAAGGAGTTGTAGACAAAGGAATTGTTTAAACTCATGCCCGGGCACACGCACGCACACACACAGACACGCACACTTACACACAACTTAAGAGGAAGAAACAAAAAAAGGAAGAAAAGTGTGTCAGGGTGTTGACAGGTAAATATAATCCCAGTCATTGAGCAGGTGATCGTTGGCAACCAAGACTCTAAGATTAGGAGGTTCTCCCACTGGACACTTGAGAAATGTTAACTGTCATAGACCTAGGGATATTAGATGATGATGATTCTGGTAGCAGGGAATCACAATGGGACCACACAGTGGAAAAGGTAGATTATGGAGAACTGAGGTTTGAATTCCGGCTGTAATAATTCTGTCAGTCAATAAACATTTACTGAGCACCTGCTATGTGCCAGGCACTGTGTTAAAAGGATGGGGATACAGAGGAAGGCAAAAGACAGTGCCTGCCCTCAAGGAGCTCACAGTCTAATGGAGGAGACAATATGCAAATAATTGTGTGTACACAGGATCTTCACAGGATAAGTGGGAGAGAACTAACAGAGGGAAGGCAGTCAGTCAGTCAAAAAGGTGGTAGCATTAAGAGGCATTGGGAAAGGCTTCTTAATGAAAGTGGAATTTTAGCTGGGGCTTGAAGGAAGCTGGGAAAGCCAATAGGAGGAGATGAGAAGGGACAGTGCGTTGCCTTTGTTATTATTGTTGTTCATCCTTCGTTATCGAAGAGGACCATGACCAGAACAGCTTCTGAAGTGATGACGGATTACTCAGACAGAGGAGAGGCAGGGCGTGGTGCTGGAGACACCCCCCCCCCAAGCCACCAAACCCACAAAAGACTGGATTCTGCAGAAGTAGGAATGGGTACAGTCTCCTCTCTCTTCTAACTCATCCCTAGGTCTACCCAGATTATGATCTTACAAGACTTTGTTAGAGGAAGACACTGGAGAGACCACTGGATTTAGAGGTTGAGGACCTGGGTTAAAATCTCATTCTGATATTTTAATACTTGTGTGACTTGGGTCAGTTTCCTCGACTAGGAAATGAGGAGAGTTGGACCAAATGACCCCGAAGACTTCTTCCAACTCAAAATCTGTGATTCCATGAACACATGCACCCAAGGAATATTTCTCTCTTGGCCTCAGTTTCCTCACCTGAAGAATGAGGGTGTTGGATGAGATGGTCTTTAAGATCCCCTCCTAGCTCCAATTTTATGATCTCTTAGCAGTCCATGACTGAGCCTCCATGGTGGGGCAGGAATCATAGAATCAATCAATCTGACAATAAGCATTTATTAGATGCTGCTATGCTCCAGGTAACATATGAAGTGCTGGAGATACAATTAAGAAACTTACAGCATAATGAATGGGGAGGTGGTTGGAGCATCAGCCCTAGAATCAGGAGGACCTGAGTTCAAATTTGACCTCAGACACTTACCAGCTCTGTGACCCTGGGCAAGTCACTTAATCCCAATTCTTCCACAAAAAAAGGAATGGATAGAGAACCATGGAATTTTTATGCCTTAGAGACAATTTAATCCAATCTCATTCTTGGACAAAAGAGGAAGCTGAGGTCCAGAGAGGTTAAGTTGTGTTCTGATGAGATTCAAGTACTGACTTCCAGTATAATAGTAAAGTCACTGAATATTCTTCTGAAGTTGTTCTGTTAATGCTGCTGAGATTCTCTTGTGTCCACTATCATTTATGAGCTGGAAATCAATGCCTGTCCCAGATGTGACTCACATACTACAGTGAGCATCTTTCTACTCCTCCCTTTGGGGAGGCCACGAGCATGAGCCCAAAACTAAGGTATAACTAAATCATTCCTGGGCATCAGGGTTGGGGTAAAATGAGTAGCACTGGCCCACTCTCCATTACAGGAAAAGGTCCCCCAGGACTGAACCCAGTTAAGTCTGTGTTCGTTGGCCCAGAGCTAAGAAGAGCCCCTCGAGTGGAGATGGTAGCTGATGAAGTGTCCCATTCCCCTGGAATGTGAGATGTGGGGGGAGCTTCAGCAAAGCTTTGAAGGGCTGACCTCAAATGCTTAATCCTTTGTGGGAACCCTACATGCATTTGGGGTTCAACAGGCTTTGATTTCTTTGGGAACTGAGCCTGCCTGTCCTATTGTCAGGTGAGATGGGAATTCTGTTTGGATTGTCCTACATGCTGGCAGGAAGCCACTGGGGAAACTGTGGATGCCCTACCTGTGCCAAGACCCAGAGAAGATTTTTTCATCTGGATCTCCAATAGGATAACCCCATGTATATAATCATCCTTGGAGAAATCTTAGTGCACCCTGAGAACACTGAGAGAGATTTTGTTCAGACTTTCAGTCAGATCACTCTATGTTTTGAATGGAATCATGGAAGAATTTTGACCCATGACAATTTGGTTTCTTCCTTGAAGTGATGGGAAGAACCCCATATGTTCCAGGAGATCAGTTAGAACCAGCATTTTTCTCTCTTTAAGGAAAAATGTGGATTTTTTTTCCATTTCCTTTTCTCTTTTTTCCCCTTTCATTGTTTTATTCTAACTTTCAATTTTTTCTCTATTTTCTTGGGTTTTGAGAAGTCTTTTTAAGTACTAAGCAAGCAGTGGCTTCTGATAAGATTTGTAAAATACTGTTTGTTGAATATGCATAACTTTG